CGAATAGTGGGATTGACCGTCACATTATAAACGTTCCTACTGCTGAAAGGGTGACATGTGACATGGATTCGAACCCGCGACTATGAGATTGCGAGTCGAATGCCCTAACCACCTGGCTATTCGTCTAAAGTTCTTAGCAATGTAGAATTTGAAGAACAGGTTAACTACTTCAAAGGATATATAATGGCGGATGTTGAAACAGATGTATGTACATAATAACTAGTAAAATGTCACATATCCTAATTTAGCTTTATGATATCAGTATTTTTCAATAAAACGTAAATATTGTTATAAGTGTGGCTACTATTTAATTTCAAGAATATAAACAGTAGAAGTTAAAGTTTGGTTTAATTAACAGTAATGGTTAGAGGTTCAAGTGAATATTTATTTATTTATATTTTCTTTAATGCATAGTCCTCTTACTAAATATTTCTTTTATACTTAAAACTTTTTCCAGTAACTTTCAATGTGACAACGGCAAGAAGCTTATGGAAAGTATCTTTAACTTATTAATTATTGTTGTTCGCATAAATAACGTCACCTTTAGTGAATAAAGTGACAAAACCTGTGCCATAAACGAGATGAAAAACAACGCGTTAGTCCAGTAAAACTAGAGATCTTGGCTATTTGCCATCATTACAAAAGAACACGTCAGTCGAGTTACTCACGAATGTGATTCCCTTGCGTCTTCCGCTTTCCAGTGAATTACAGTTCTCAAAACAACCAACATATAGGACAACACAATCAACCATAGACCGACTAAAATGACAATTCTTGTGACAGTGTTAAGTTCAATTTTTCTAAGCATCAGTTGTGATAGTTTATAGGAGTTTCATCAGTAAGACATAATTGTTAAAAAAAGGGAATATTTTTACGATAACTAATGTGACCTATCGATGATATCAACAGTTGATAAGTTATCAATAAACGTATTGTTATGTCTCCGTTCGTTAGATGATTTCCCGTAACTTCGTTCCAACGAAACTTTAGCGACACAAGTCCTTACTTAATAAAACTGGTTTATTCTTTCCGAATACAACTTTACCGATACACTTATTTTCAACAGTCGCGTTATAACAACGAACGAGCTCAACTTCAACAATACTATCTGACTGCAGTTCAATTACTCACTACCAACACACACATTGTCTTTGTCACGTTGTGAGCGTCTTATATATATACCAGACTAACACATATCTAGTAAATGCTAGGGCATTCACGAAGGTACAGGATAGTTCTAGAAACGTGGCGTGGCACTAGTCACGTGACCTCGCTGACGCAACAGTATTAAATTTATGATCGACTGTCTCGCACAGCAATATTTACGATCTATGGATAATATATGGATAAGTGTCTTGTAAAGCCTCTTCTTCCACCACAACGATGTTTTATGCGATTGGTGACTCTGGTTACGAGCTACTGCCATGTAGCGCAATTTTTATCGTAGGAGGCTTTTACTCAATACACTGAGGTCAATGTTACCCCCTCCTCATTTTTAAATGCTTTCAAAGTTCTTCAACTGTACGTGGAAGACGACTTCCAAGGACCTGTTTGAACAAGCTAAAGGTTAAGAAGTCCACGGGAGGTGCATTTGATGATTTAATTAACTAGCATGTTAACTTGGGTGTCTGTAGCTGGATGGGCGATTTGTCTTGATGAAACTATACCTCATTGACATTCAATTCGTACCGAAATACTATCAACACATTTATATTAGCCAGATTGTGAGCACAGTTTATCTTACTATTTTTTACGGCTCTCTGGAAATTTAACTTAAAGTTATAGTTGTAACCACCAACTACGGTTAAACCACCAAAAATCTCTTTACAAACTTTTGCAATATATTCTCTACCATTTTAAAAAATTGTTTCACCGCCAAGACAATGATAATTTGCCTGAACTTTGTTGCAGTCGTTTAAGTAAACATTTGTCACATGCTTGATCTCGCTCAGTTAGGTGCTCTGGAAAGATCTGATGAACATGGCTCTGGTGTCACTTTTCTAGACTTAAATCCTTGCAAAATAACTTATTTCCATTTCCAAAAGAGGTTCTTACTTTAGGTATAATAGATCGCTATGTTATTGCAGATGATAAACGTTTTTAACTTTCTTCATTACCTCCGGTGTGCGATTGGTTTGGTAGCCGATAGTGGAGGAGCTGTTCAACATAACAGACATCCTTTTCTAAGTTTCATGTATTGCATATTACATACTTTTGTAATCGTGAAATAGGCGAAATTCACGTACGTAAATTTTGTAAAGTATTTGGTACCATCCGCAAAAGCAAATAATTTTCCATTATACTTATTATAAGACAATAGTATTAGGCCTATTATATTTTTAAACACTAAACCCTATATCTAGCCCATTAGATATTTTCAAGAATTAAAAAAGTATATAATAATAGTATCCCAACCACACTATGTTTGTCACATTCATTGCCTACCAGGGTTTCGCTCAATCCAGAGCTCTTCAGGACGGCTGGGATACAACAAACACAACAATGGTTGGAACACTATTTATATAAGCCATTTGATATTGTAACTATTGCTATGGTGTGTACGCCTTTGACTTATGACAAGTCCAATTGTAATCAAGTAACAAATGGTAATTAGTATGCCTACTTATTTACGTGCTCTAATGTAATTCAATGCAAGATTTGGGATTCGCTTTCGGTGAATCCCCGTAAAAGTGTTTTCGCGAAATACCCGGGTTCCCTAAGGGGTTGGGTGAAAAGTTTATATTTGTGCAAACCCCAGGGCCGAGACGATTGTTTGGCCCTATTTAGAAGTTGGAGAGTCCAGCAGTTTAGGAGGTGTTACATGACACACACACACATACATTGAATTTTATTCTAGAGATGTTGCTTTGCTAGACCAGATCTACCATAGTCGTCATTATTCGTGTACTCAGGAATGGCAAATATTTGCCGATATTCTTTTTTTTTTTGTATATCTGATTGCGCTCATAAAATGTGATGTTTAGTTTAGTTACAATGTAAATTTTTAACTCACAAACAAATACATTTTTTAAAACCCACACCCACGAAGCACCGATAACATACAATTTAAAGCAATAAATACCCTAGTTATCATTCTTCGTTACGGTCCGTTATGTCACTTAAACTATTTATGTGATTAGAATCTAAGCCATTCAAAAACACTTTATTACGTACACAAATACATTTAAGTTGAAACTTTCGCCACCTGTAACGTGCACTCAACGTCATATGCGCGTTTTCTTTCAAAAAGTGGTAAAAAGGAAGTTCTGTAAACAAACAAACAAAAACTTTATGCAATCTAGTGAAACTAAACTAAATTTAAACAAATTATAACATGAAGTCTTATGGCGTATAACGCCTATGTTGACGAAGCAAGGTCAACTTGGGTCATATATATATATATATAAACATTATTAGCAACATGCAGTTATCTGTATATGAAATAATTGAGTGACGTAAGCTAATAGATATTTCCCCTACGAGTTCATGTTCACATACAAGTCTTTCCTTTACACCTTCTACAGACAAACATAATTTTGGTGTTAGTTAAGCAAGCTAATAAAACTAGTTTTAATAATCTGTTAC